GGTTAACCGGTAAGTAACCGGTAACCGATTGTGGGCAGAAGGGTGATGGGAGGCAGCAGGCTGCTCTTGGCAATTTTTTTAAAAAATTCATTGTTTTTTTTTTCTTTTATGTACTCAATAATGTAAGTCTTAACTCTTATTTACAATATTAAGACTTATTATAAATTTATAATTTATAACATTACAATTGTCATTTGTCAAACCATAATTGATTTGTAAGTTATAACAAGTTCAAACTTCAAATTCTGAAATTCATTAAGTATCATCAAATACTGAAATTGAAAGGGACGATAATCAACATAATTGTCAATCAACCAAAGCGCATAATGATTAATGACAATGTCCAAAATCTAAATTCACACAAGTTCAAACTTCTAAATTCACACAAATTCACACAATGTCCCAAATAACACAACATAAATAAACACATAAACTAGCTAGCATCTCATGCTCCTCCTTCTCCGATAGAACTTGTTGTCCCACCACCAACATTAGCATATCCTTTCTTCTTCAAAGTCCTAAGAAGAGTAACTTCGGGATCGTCATCGTCATCGTCACTCTCACTCATATCATCACTCTCAGTCTCCTCGTCATCGTCATCCAGATACTACTTTTCTCTCGGCAAATGAGGGTGCACGGCCCTCTTGGGATTGGCAAGGAATACTTGAGGGGCGAGATTTACTTGCTAGGGGGTTGTGTTGGCGAGTCGGATCAGGCAAGACAATCCGGATTCTCTCAGATAAGTGGTTGCCTTCTTCCCCACCTTCTTCTCCTTCTCTACTCCCCGGGGTCGATTTCTCTTTAATCTTTATGGCCGAGTTGATTTGTCCTGTCTCCCATAGTTGGAAAGTTGATTTGTTGCAGGGAATGTTCACATCTAAGTCGCGGAGCTGATTCTCACCATTCCTTTGCCATCGCAGCCTATCCCAGATAAGCTTATTTGGCATTACTACTCATGTTCGGGTGAGTACTCCATCAATTCGGGGTATCAACTTCTATCCACGAAGCTCAATCAGATCCACCCTCCTGCTCCCCTTCCTTATGATGGACGTTTCTGGAAATTCCTTTGGAATTTACCTTTGCCGCCAAAGTTGAAGTTTTTTAGGTGGCGGGTGATTCGTGGGTTCCTCCCGGTGTGTGATGTTCTGGTATTCAAAAGGTTGATCACAGACAGTACATGCCCAGTGTGTTCGGAGAGGGCTGATTAGATTCTCCATATCTTCCTACAATGTCGAGTTGTCGTGGAATTGTGGGAACTAGCAGGATTGGGTCTACTTCGGTGGGGCTTAATTGGGTTGTCCTATGATGAATGTTGGAAGCAATTTCTTTTACATTGTCCTTTGTCCAAATTGTATGTTATGGCGTCTTTGGAAGTCCCGTTGTTGGGCTGTCCACAAGCGCATTCAGTACAGGGGTTCAGCCTTGTTACGACAACTAAAGGCACAAGAAGAGGAATGGCGGAATGCCACTGCGCCCATGGAGCTGCATAATGGAGTTCAACTTGGAAGCGAAGCTTCACCGCCGACTGGATCCCCACCAAGGTCGGAGATGGACGGTGTATGCCCGCCAGACAGAGTTTTTGTACGATTTGACAGGACCTGGAAGAGGGGTGTTCGTGGCGCTGTTGGCTTAGCGGGATTTGCCGAGAATGGGGCCTTGTTATTCGCTTATGGAAAACACTATTCAGGTATCTCCTATCCTTTTCTCATGGAATTAATGGCACTACGTGATGCAATTACATGGTGTATAACTCATGGTTTTGTTTTTGTAAATTTTTGTGGGGATTGCCAACTCCTGTTACGCCGAGTTCGCTCGAGAGACACAAATCACAGAATGAGTGGTGCATTATTGCAGGAAATTAGAGTTTTGCGTTCGTCGTTCTCATTCTTTGATTGTACTTTTATCCCTCGCGATTTTAATAGGGCCACCATTTAGTGGCTCAAAAGGCTCTTGCATCGATAGTTCGACTAACTGCCGTGTTTGATTGAGTGTGGTTCTTTGACTATGTTTTTTCCATTAGATTCCTCTTGAAAAGAGGTAGTACAAAGATTACAAATACAAATAGACTATCTACTACGCAACCAAGCAAGAGACAAAACCAGAGCATGTCTTGCTATCGAGTGAGCTACTCTATTATTCAAATCTACCAACAAAGTGAATCGAGGCGTTGTTGAGTCCACTAATGAGCATATCAATCTCGCATATCAATCTCTTGAAGAAGAATCCCAATTTTTGCGTCACAAACTTGTCTTGCACGACATTTTTCAATGAGAACTTCAGCATCCCCTTGAACGCAAACACTGTTGAGCTGATGTTGCTTGCAGAAAAGAAGACAATCCCGTCACGCTAGTGCCTCCAAGACATAAGGATCACTACAACCTTCAAAAACACAAGCCTTGGCTGCTATGACCTCTCCTGAAGCACGCCATACAATGAAAGCCGAAGATCCAAACTCCCTGCGTCGTGTACCTGCATCAAACAAGGCCACAAAATTTGCCATGGAGTCATCATGACTTAGATTATTTCTCATCAGAGTCGTGCCATTTACAGGAGTGGCCTGCAGGAGAGCTTTATCATTCTCTTGAACTTGGTGCTTCCATTTGGCAGCAAGTTCTTCCACTTTAACATGCTTGAACTCAAAACAAACAGTACATCAATTTTTCCAGATGCGCCAAAGAAGGGAAATAACCTGCAAGTAAAGATAATCCAAATCCTGGCCATCTTCCTTGAGCAGTGAATATCGAAGGAAGCCAATAAAGGAACCCTTATTCCAACGTCCCAAGTGCCTATGCAGCCTTACCATTCTCCATAATCTTTTTGTCGTCGGACACCTGAAAAATAAATGTTCAATGGTTTCCTCTTTCCGCCCACTAGGGATGGCAATCAAACCCATGGTTGCGGGTATCCGTCCACCTCCGATCCAGTCAACGTGGGGAATCCCTGCATTGACTGGTTATGGGGCGGGTATGGGTAAAACCCGCAAAGAACTTGATGGGTATGGGGCGGGTATGGTTTTGGCGTCCCCCGCCCCATACCCATACCCAACCCGCCCATCAAGGTATTTTGCTATACGTAAAAAGCTATAAATATATTTTTATAAACTATTATTAGCATGAAGGTAATTAAATAAAAAATATGATTAAAATGTAATTATATTTATCAAAATCCTTGAAATTTTCAACCCTCTCAGCCGGCTACAGTTTACTTTCTCAATTTCTCAATGTCGCCGCCTTTCCTCTCCTAACTCCTGAATCATCTTGGAGATGTCCACCTTACCAAAATTGTTGATAAGATAGTAATATGTCATTAAATATAATTTCTTACATTTGAATTATTTTGATGCATATTGGTGTAACTTAGTGTGTTTGAATAATTGGTAGTCTAGTAGACTTTAATCTTTTAGAAGCAAAAGAGGTTTTTGTCTAGTTGACAAGTTTATGTTAACTGTTTACTATATAGACGTGTTTGGAGATGAATGATTTGATATTGTATTATATTTGCATTTTATTTTATTGATTAATCAATATTTTAGGATTGAATGATTTTTTCTATAAAGAAATACTATAACTATGTTCATTTCCGCTATTTATTATGTATGTTTTGTGTTATAATTGAAGACATACATGTTGAACTTTAGATAAAATAATATTGCTTATATGGAGCGAGTACTACCCATGGGTATCCGAAACCCATGGTACCCATGGGTATGGGGATGAGTTTGCAAAACCTCCATCCGCATGGGTATGAGTTTGAGTAATTGGTTATCGGGATGGGGATGGTTTAGGCAAACCCGCCCTATTGCCATCCCTACCGCCCACATACCGGGCAAATAGGGCGGATGTCCATCCCACGCGCTACTAAAACTTCACGAGTAGGGAGGATGCGATGAATACACTGCCATAAAAAGAAGAGCAATTTCGGATTCCCCAAAGCCAATTCCAAATAGATCCATGAAATCAATCCTAGGCTTAGTAGGACTTGGACGTTGACGTCGAAAAGCCAAATAGTACGCGGATTTGACCATGAAAAAGCATGAGGGATCATACTACTAAATAATAGTATCATGAAGTTTTGTCTGCGATAACGGAATGCTACGAATCTTCCTATCAGACTATTTGATACTTTATTATCTATGACAAAAAAAACTCATACGGATTTTATTGCGGCCCATTTGTAGCTCTCATTGGGCTTTGTAAGAGCCAAAACCTTCCCCAATAGACCTGGAAAATTACAACTCGATCCGTAGACCCGACTCGAAACCGCCCGAAAACTAAAATAATTTGTAACCCGAAATCCGAATGACCCGAACCCGATAACCCGTGATTTTTTTGGTCGGGTTGGGTGGATTAGCGGGTCGACCCGTTAGACCCGTTCCATTTAATATATTACTCCCAAAATATGATAAAATCACTCATAAATTGGTGAGATGTTTAAAAAAATCACAAGGACTTGAATGACACGTTTGGAGTTTAAGGATAATCACATATCATGTGTTTCTTGTAGTAGTATTACTCTTGTGTTTGTTGTATGACGATTTGCGCAATTTATATTTCATTTCATTAGCGTGAGAGGATTTGAGAATATGTTAATTGACATGTGTTAGGTAAACTATTGGCATGCATATGTGAAAATCTGTGTTCTTTAAAAAAATATGAAGCATGCTTGATATTGTTTCTAAGAACACTCATAACCCGAAATGACCTGTAACCCGACCCAAAACCGAATGGGTTTGATCAATATTTGATCCGAAATAAGCCAACCAAACATGACCCGACCCGTAACCGAAATTCCCAACCTAAAATTATCCAACTCGACCCGATTGTCAGGTCTACCCCAAGAACAGTGACAGTGGGCCCCGCCACGGCACTCCAGCCATGTGGTCCACGTGCAAACTGCAAACTAAGGAGAGAGGCTCCCACGGGCCACGGCCCATCAAATCCAGCCATCCGGCAAAACAAAATCCAACGGCTGCCGCTAAAAGTTACTTACCCACCTCATTGGACGGCAGACGGCAGTCGTTCAACCAAAAAAAAAAAAAAAAACACCAAAAACAAAAGAAAATTAATGAATCCCAAGTCCCCCCCCTGAAAGTGAAAACGAAAAAAGAACAGTTCTAATTTGAAGTTGAAAAGCAAAGCCCTAAAATTTCTGTCTTTGTTCCTATTTTTTGGTGGCTTATAGCCTTTTCGATCTTTCGCTGAAAGGGCAGAGGAAATCAATCATGAGAGGAACAAAACGTCTCGCCACATCGTCGTCGGAGTTGGCGCCGGAGTCCAATGACACGGGTGTAAGTTGTTGCTCTCTGTGTGGGGGAAAAACCCTAATTGATGTTTTGTTTGGTTGCTGCTCTGTTCTGTCGAATTTGTGGGCAATGCCTTTTCGGTTTTGATTGGTGGGCTTGAGTTGGAACTGTAGGATTTCTGCAGGGGAATGGAGACCTGAAGGAAAGTTGGGAACTTTTTCTCTTCCATGTAGCAGCAATGGCAACTGCAGAAGAGGAAAAAAAAACAGACTTTTATGTTGCCTATCGAGTTCTTCTAGAAACTAAGGTGTAGACCTGCTTGTTTGGAAGCGAACTTAATATAGAGAATCAATGCTACACCTTAGGACAATGAAACTTCCTTGATGGCAATCCAAAGTTGATTTTTGGCTGTGCAAATTTGTTATCTTGGCTATTTATGCCTACACGTTCCTTCTTTTCTGTCGTTTACTTTGCTGTGGAGGGCACGTATTGTTGGTAGAGTTGTCCTTCTGGAATGTGTTTAGGCCATTCAGAATGTGGACACGGTCTGGCAACTAAACAGTTGGTTTATTTTTGTTTCTGGTTTATGAAGTATTATAATGCGTTGAAGCATGAGTTGGTTGATTCTTTAGTCACTTGTGGAGGCTCACTCACTTCAGGACTTTCAATGCTGTTACAGATGCGAACTAAAAGGGCAATGGGATCCTTTTCTGATGTTCACAAGGCAGTAACATCGCAGAAGCAGTTCAAAACTGCAACGCCATCTCTGGATGTGCAGCGAGCTGAGTTGTCTCGACAGCATGTGAGAGCTCTCAATTCCCAATTCGCCAGGTCAGCAGGTTCTTCTCTCCTGCTTATGTTTGGCTCTCTTTTTATTGTGAATCTTTTGATGTGTACTCTTTGAACATACCGTAGAGTGGTTTCTTCACTACTGAGGTGTGTTTGGTTTCCAAGTAATCCTTTTGCTAAGCATGTTTTTTCCTGATTGGTAATAGCTGGGTGCAAAAACAACTTAACAACCACCCTGATGAACTTTGGGAAGATGGAGTTCATGACTATCTTACTCATGCATCCAGTATCATGGTATGAATTACAGGTTTTGTGTCCTTCCACTCCCACGATAACTTTGATATCCTTCTTCTATTTCTGATCTTTGGGGCTTTGATCTGCTTCTGTTCATATGTCAGCAAAAGTTCAGTGATGTAGTGAACTGGTTAAAAGCAAATGGAGCCAAGGGAGGACTTGGTGCCGAATCTTCTGCCAGTGACAAAAAACCATCACCTGATACTAATAAGATAAATGAGAATAATTTATCTAATGAGAGACAACCTGCTTTTGCTTCAACAAGTACGAGCTTTACTACAGCTGCATTGCCTCCTGCCATATTCTCCTACAATCAAAGCTCGGGAGCAGTGTCTAGTAGTAAAAACTCCAGCCTGCTTCTGTCAAATAGCCAAAGCTCTGGAATGTTCTGCGGTAGCCAAAGCCCTGCGTTACCTACAAACAGTCAAACGTCTGGATTATTATCGAGCAGTCAGAGTACTGGGATTTTCTCAAATAGTAAGTTGGGATCCTTGGCCGACAATCAAAGTGCTGGTTTATTCTCCAAAAGTCAAACCCACAGTGCCGGGTTACTATCCAATAGTCAAGGTGCTGGGATGTTCTCCAAAAGTCAAACCCAAAGCTCCGGGTTACTATTGCATAGTCAAGGTGCTGGGTTATTCTCAAATAGCCAAACCCAAACTTTTGGGTCACTATCCAATAGCCAAGGTGGTAATTTATTCTCAAGTAGTTCGGGCCCTGCATTGTTTTCAAGCAGTCAAAGTACTGGGTTCTTTTCCAGCAGTCCAAGCAGTGGATTGTCTTCTGAGAGTCCAAGTTCTGCGGGTGGGTTTGCCAGCGTACCAGCTCCTATCTTGTTTGGTAAGTGATGCGTGTCACTTTAGAGTTGTTGTATTCGCCTCTTTCTGCTTGAGACTCATAAGTTGTTATATGACGGCCTGAGGGTAAGTTCATGTTGAAGCTGAATATCGCATATACTGTTCTTTTTGGATTTCAGGGGGTCAAAGTTCAGCTACCACAAAAGATAATGCCTCAGATGATGCAGCTGATGGTGATGATGTGGATTTTGGTTCCCTTTGCCCTTCACTGTTTTGAAATTTATTTTAATGGACTGACTGAGGCCACTTTTATCTGTATACCAGGAGATGAATTGCCACAGCCTGGCAGTCCATCAGTGAAGAAGGTTGAAGAAAAGGGTGTTGCCGTTGTCCATCAAGTCAAGTGCAAACTCTATGTCAAGGTAAACTGTTTAGTTGCCCGTTTCATTTCCACATTTGGTGAAATTACATTGTCCAAATACATCAGCACCGGTTCCCTGTTGCTGCTGATCAGCCCTTGTTATCATTTGGCACGATGGTCCACTGCATGTGTATACATAAGGTCTATGAAATTAACATGGACTTCTATTATTGATGTGTCACCTGCGAATTTATATACTTGGCTGCTCGTTTAACAGCCAAAACCTTGTTTTCAGTCAATTGATCCTGCAGATAAAGACACATGGAAGGACAAAGGACCAGGGCAGCTTTCTATAAAATGTGCCGAGGGTGTCAGCAAGGGGACGAAAGAATCAAGCCCAACTCTTATCATTCGTAATGATGTAAGGTTCTGTTAGTAATGCTAAACTGTTTTGACGAATGTCTGAGTTAAAAATGAAAATGCAGAGATTTAGGCTGTGACTCATTTGACTGGCTGATCTTGTGCTTTGTGCTATATGGCAGCTGGGGAAGGTGCTACTAAATGCTTTGCTTTACCCAGGAATTAAGACGAGTTTACAGAAGAATTCTGTGGTTGCCATATTTCATGTAGCGGTAAATATATACTCGCTATTCAGTTTGTCTGCTGCTAGAGAACTTCTTATCCATTTTTCAATGCCAACTTAACAACATTTGACTCTTTAATTTTTGCAGGCGGATGATTCTGGTAGCAATGAGAGCGTCGCGGCAAGAACATTCTTAATCCGAACAAAAACTGAGGACGATCGGGACAAGCTAGCAACCGCTATCCGGGAATATGCGCCTGAATCGTGAATGTTTGAATTTGTTTGATCACAAAACTTATCCAAACGATATAATTTATGATATGATCACTCCCTCTAACTCTGTCAGATTTTGGATTTGTTTGATTTCATAGCCAAGTGCCCAATTTTAGGATTTCAACAGCTTGGCATTCATAAATACTGAAAGATCTCTTTGACGTTATCACAAAACTAAAAGAATGGAATACAGAAAGTAACGATCTAGCAAAGCATCATCAATCTATCTACTCCTTTGATATCGTTTATTGTTTCTAGTTTCGAAGTTTGTTCGGCAAGAAATCAAGCAACCCAAAAAGAATCAAACTAGTTAAGGAAAATAATAGATGGATTGTTCAAAAACAGTTGAGTTTCTATCCTTCAAACTAGGGGTCTTTTCTCTTCATCTTCTTGTTCTTCACCTTTTCCTACACCCGAATTGGTTTCCTCGTGTAACTCCAATTGCTTACGTGTGATCATCTTCGGAGGAAGTTTGGCATCTGACATCATCTTTAACATGATTCCCATGGCGATCAGTAGCAATCCAGACCCATGCTGCTCAGTCAATGGCTTTGTGAATATCATATAAGATAGCAACAAAGTGACTGCCTTCCTAGCAGTTGTTATCTGCAAAGATGGGTCGATTGGCATTATAAGACCTCCTAACATTTTCTGCAAAATATAACAAGCAAAAACCCCAGAGAAAGTGTGCATACCATGGCAGTAGTGGCAGCTCCGAAGATAGCAACTAAGGGACAAATCCGCAAGTTGGTAGCAACTCGTAGTAGTGGGCTGGGTTGTGAATGTCTGACCATTATTATTATTATTACTATTATTATTATTATTAATATTACTATTATTATTATTATTATTATTGTGTTATGGATTTAGGCTTGTTCGGTTAGTAATTAGTGTCGGATAGGGCCTAGTACGTAATCCGCGGGAAGTTGGGCTTCTCAAGGGTGGCGGATTAGGGGTAGGGGTCGAGTGGCCTAGTCGGGTATTAGGGTTTCTACTCTATAAATATGTATGTTTGGTGTTAGTACCAGTTATCGAATTAATAAGAAAAGGCATTTCGACGCCAAGTCGTTCTCTCGCTTGTGAGTTACAAGCAAAACCCTAACCCGATATCACAAGTGTCACAACGAATGCACAAAAAGAAGGAAATTAAGAGAATTCGTAATAACTGAAAAGTGTGTCGGCATCCCCTGACCGGAATCTGCATATCAACGCCGCTGAAGCAGTGTCGGCCGAGGAGGAGGATCGGCTCAACGACCTTGAATCGAAGGATCTCTACGCTCCATGAGCTTGATTTTCGTTGTTGCTACTACTGTCGCCGCCGTTGTTAGGGTTTTTTTAGAGAGAGGAGCCACGAACAACATCTATCCAAACATATTGCTGAGCACATTTTTAACATCCTTTTGCAAACGAATATGGTACCTACGTTGTTAAGCTCTGTGAAACGCAAACTGTATCACATCCATGACACCCATATCATTCAATATTGTTTTGCTATTTATGTTGTAGACCTGTCTGATATCATGTTGCACACCCCATTCAATATTGAGCGTCAACTTTTGCTGAGTTGGTTTCACCCCGCCTTCCTTATCAATCTTGCCCTTTCTTTTTCTATCTCACTAAATTGTTTGTTGTGCATGTGATGTTCTGGATACAACATCTTTTCATGGTTGTGAAACCCTTTATTTTCTCTGGTTGCACGACGTTTCACCCCTATTATAATCCAGGTGCTTGGCCCATTATGTTGCCATACTTCTTAAATACATATATGAAACTCGCCATTAGTACCATTTGAACTAGTATTCTCATGCCTCTACTTCGTAGGATCTGGTTTGTAAGGCTTCTCGATCTTACTACTTTTGTCTTGTCGCAATACATATAGATGGGGACAGAAACCAAATGCGTCAACATCAAGCAATGTCATCTCAATGTAGTTCATCATCACGGAAATCAGTGAGGCTAACAAGGAAGATGGGCACAAGCACTTGATGCAAGATTTATTTCAACCCAAGCCTAAACTTTGATGATAAGGCATTCACAAGACAATATCAGATGCCCCCTGCCCTTCAACCCGGTTATGAATGATGTCGTTCACTATGATGACTACTTCAAGCAAGGGAAAGATGCTATGGGCTACAACTCATTCTCCCCACACTAGATGCTTACTAGTGCTTTCGGTATGCTTTCATATGGATGCTCTGTAGACTCTTTGGATAAGACCTGTCAAATGGGTGAGAGCGCCGTAATAAATGCGACAATGTGGGGGACCCACAATATTAGGATACTGCTTGTTAGACGTTGGGCACAACATGTCCTTATTTTGAAGGTAGAGAAAAAACGAGAATAGAAGATAAATGACAATTAATTAGAGATTCATAGAATGAAAGACCGAAAGAATAATCTGACTTAAAAAAAATGCATCGCTTCTCATTTTTTTGCAACATGTCTTAAAATCCATACATCAATAAACTAGCTTGGAACAAAAGTTACAACATTTAAGGGACCCAAACACATGAAACCCTATACTTTTACGCTTTAAAGTTAGCTTTTGACTTCATTGCGATGGATCGAAGAGTATATCGTACGACAGTGCGAATCTGACTAAGCCGGACAATGAGTGGCTAGGAATTCGGCCAAGTGGTTTTGATAAGTATAAGTGTTATAAACGCGCTGCTACGGATCGAGAAATCGCTGTAATCGACAAAGTAAGAATACGAAAGCGAGAATCGAAAACACGACATACGATTTACGTGGTTCACTAACACAATGTGTGTTAGCTAGTCCACGGGCGAGAGAGAGCCAGTTTCACTATATCGAGGAGATTACAGATTACAGAGGAGATGAGATGAGAAGTATTTATACTTCTCCATGTGGGTCTAAACCTAATCCAATCTGGCAAAGGAAACGGTTACAAACTAGGCCCAGAACCCGAACCCAAATAACATTAAGCCCATACTAATCCAGTCGTAGCGGCTGATAGTCTGATTCAAGTCACATCAACAATAAGATACCGGAGCAATGCCGGTTGCTGATGACAGAGCAGGATATGAAGACAGGGAAGGACTTGTTGAAATAAGATTTCGTGAAGAAGAATCCAGGGTGGATTTAGGAGCTGACTTTGTTGATGAAGACTAAGCAAAAGGCTGAGATTCTTCATGCTTTGAGCTCTTTCGGGTTTCAGTACTTGTCTGAGGTTTACCTGCCGCTGAAGCTGCATTGAAGCTACAGCAGCAGGATCGGATTTGAAAGGTAACTGGTAAGAGATCAAGATGATAATTATCATCGGAGTTAGGTCGTTCGAATTTGTTGTAGCGTTGCATTTCTTCTGCTAGAGTTGCTGCTAAAAGGATCATGATTGTAGAACAAAGTAGAGAATGGAAGGTTCATAATTGAAAATTTGGGATGTTTTTATTCAATGCTTTCCTATGAATTTTACAATGAAGTATGCAGAGCGCTTGCTTATTTGGTTCTTGTGCCCTAGATGTACAATGAGCGGCAATATGCGTAATTCCTATACAAAAATTAGGCATTCTGTACACATAAATAATGATCAGGTACTAAAAGTACCGGCTCTTTTCTGCACCCAATGGTGCAGTGATTCTTTAGTGATCTTCAGTCTCTGTAGCATAACCGGCCGTCTCGTGGAAGAAGATGACACCATTTTATTGGTCCTTCCAACCCTTTCTTCTTCTAGTATGGGAGATGAAGAATCAGGATGCTTTTTCTGGCTGATCTTCATATTAACTGGAGACCCAGGAAGGGAGGCCAAAACCTGGAGCCCCAAGTCGTTTTGCACTAGTTTCAGTATCGTGTCTCTCAGCTCTGAACCATTTTTAGCAGACTCTGCAGCACCCACTTCGTCCACCCCTAGTATTATCGATATGTCGTCATTTACTGGATGTCCTGTAGAGTATAATAAGCGAGGAAATCAAAACTCTTGATTGTTGCTACTTCACAGAAATATTCCCAATTGTGAGAAGTCTGAGACCCAGCATTTTTAGATAGTATTTATTGGCTTTTGTTTCATACCTAGAGTGTAATTCTCTTTGATCATTCGAAGAACGGCCAGAACAACAATCCGAGACTCAACCTGAAAAAAAGAAAAAGAGTTCATAAGTACTATGATATTGGTAGACCAAAAGCAGTTGTTCTAAAGCTTGGTGGTTCCCATTTGGAGACACAACAGTCATCCTGTAGATACGTACCTTTGTTAGGCCTTGCAGATTGATAGCCACTCTTCCACTGATGCCATTTTGTAAGTGTGCTGCAACTTTCTCAAGAAGAAGATTATGGGGTCTCCCAGTAGCAGTTCCTGTCTGGCCAGAAGAGCGATCTTGCCTGGGACCATTATGTTGTATAACACCTTCACACCACTCCTCGATTAGTTGCTTCAGATAGTAATCATTTGCATTATACCTGCAAACAACGCTTGATTAATTAAGAGTTCCTAGCTCCATCAGTTATGAAGAGTTGTGATAAGAGAGATGTTAGCATACCCAGCTTTCCTCATTTCTTGATATATAGCCAAACACTGTTGTACTTCTCGTAAAGAACCATATCGCGTACGAGCTCTTAAAAGGGTATTATAAGTCACCTGCAAGAGAAAGGGCAACGGAGTAAGCGTTCTTCGGAGTTGGATGAGGTTAACTGAACAAGCCCTTACTGCTACTCACCAAATCTGGTTTAATCAGGTATCTCTTCATTTCGGCAAATAGTGAGAACGCCAGCTGCAAGTTTCTGCTCTCCACGCAAACCTATAAATCCCAATACCACAAAGTATATTCAACATCTGAAGCTTGTTTGTCCCATTGACGTAAAATATATTATTTGTCAATTTGCCACCAGAATCAATCTTTGACCACGTGAACAAGTGGAAGAGAATCGTAGACCTTGATAGCAGTCGTATATGCAATGCCATCCGGCTGAACTCCAGCCATACGCATGTCCTTCAAGGTCTGCACTGAAAGAAAAATTGGTGCCACGAAGTTGATATTTTTGTTAATGGAACTGCGAAACAGTTAAAACCCTGGGAGAGAAATGAACAAGGGAATGGGAACGCCAGCACTCTCCACGTCTCATTTTTAGATATTCATCTTTCTCTTACTACCAGAAAGAGAGCTTTCTACTGTCCACAAACTAATAATCCATACGAGCACGGCTATAGATGGAATCAACAAACAACATATGTTCTAAAGAGCTGGATCCCAATCTCTTTCTGTTCAAGCAAAAGATGTTGTTACCTGTACGGCAAGTTCTGCATCCCCTGAGGCTCCACACATGTGAATTAAGATCGACCAGCTTATTTGATTAGGGGGAAGGCCTTCTTCTTTCATTTCATTCATCAAACTTTTGGCACGCTGATAATCTGTGCCACATGCTTCCATCAATATATTGTATGTTGTTGTTGTTGGTGCAAAGGGAAACTTAGTTATGAAGTTCCAATGATTTGAAGTAGGCAGAGGATCCCTTTTTGGAGAGATAGGTTCAGAAACGTCATCTTCTGTTTGGCTACTGCAACGGTCTCCAAGAGCTTCTTGAAGTCCATTTTTCTTCCAAGATTGGAAAAGACGAAAAGCCCTGTCATATTGACGAGCCTCGACACAAGCATGCAAAAGGATGTTACAACATTGTGAATTTGGCTTGCAGCCTGATAGAAGCATTTCCTCAAATAACTGGATTGCATGCTCGACAAGACCTGCATTTCCACAAGCACTGATCAAGGATGACCATGTGTACGTATTAGGGGTGACACCTGACGCCAGCATATCTTCTTTGACTTTTAGTGCCATTTGCCACAACTTTGCATCTGCAAATACCTGGAGAATCCATGCTTTAGATGAGTATGGATACAGTGGCATGTATTTTAAAATCCACAAACTTGATATTCATATACTGCTGGGAGATGTTACTTTTATGATGGTACAGTAAGTGAAGACATCTAACTTCAATGTTCCTGCCAGCTCCAATTGTTTCACTGTGTTATACATGTCCTGCGCCAGATCAACTCTTCCGGCAAGACAACATGCCTTCAGGATAATGTTGTGAGAGGTTGTATCTGCTGTTACGCCAAGATTCTGGTTCAAGAGAATATCTATAGTTCAATATCCAAGTAAAACTTTATCCAAAGAGAAATGTAAATACTATTTGTTTGCCCTTCATGGAGATTATAAATGACAACACATTCAGTATTTTCTGTTTGTTGCATCTTCACGACATCTTGAAACATAGCGAAAATGCAGTTTCAAGTGTTTATTTACAGTAGTATCCTCAGATCATAATGTGAAGAGTATATGCCAAAATATGCAAAGTACACGATCAAATGTTTGAGGGGTTGTTCAATAATAGGGATTTTTTTATAATGGCGATTGTATTAGAACGAACTAAGAAGAAGGTCTGACAGGTACAAACAGAGGATCAGGAGGCATGATCCTAGCAACCTGGAAGGGAAAAGAAAAGAAAAGAAACGAAACACAACGGGGCAGCTAGGAATTGCCCCCATTGGTTTTGAAGACTACATGATTTCGGACAACTCAATGTCACTGTATTCTAACGTTAGACGCATTCTTACAATCTCATCAACAAAATTCATGATTTTTCAAAATTTGTGTATTTCGCAATTCATGAACAATGCCAAACCATCCATGTTTGTAACTATGCTGGATCAGAAGCCAGCTGAGAGAGGGAGAGAGAGAAAGAGAGACTTACTTGCATGTTTTGGTATATGTGCATTATATAGGTCAAGTCATGAGCATTAACATTCATGAGACTATTGAAGACATAGATATTTGGGGTGATCTTTTTCTCGAGCAACCCCTAGAGCCAGAAGACAAACAGAACGGAAGGGTCATATCGAAATGGCATTTGGAGGGAAACCATGTTCAGCAAGTAAAAAGACCAACTATCAAGTACCTCATAGATGAGCCTGGATTTCATTGGCTCCCCACACAGACCACAAACATCAACAATTGCACGGCACATATACATGTTAGGGCTGCTCAAGATCTGCATAAACGCTTCATACGCCGTCAAAGCGGAATCCAAATCTTTCCTCTTCCCGAATTCGCTGATGATGGTGCAGAACAACATGCGATCATAGGGAGGTATGCTCGCGTACCTGCAAAACAAACATTGGATCTACAATGTGAATCAATGCATAAACACGAAGTCGGAAGATTCAGGGAGTCAACCAGTAATGGTGGCAAATGATCTTTCATTGGTCACCTCACAGCCATGTCTGGATCGCGTTGATCAACGCACATTTTAACAATCTCCATCGGCTGAACTATATCTTTAATGGAGAATCCTAATCCTGCAAACCAACTGTAGTTGAGCCAATAATCTGAAGCTTTCACGGGAGTTCACAATTCATTTAGGGGAGGGGGCAAAAAAACAGTTTACCGGCAAGAATCTCCATGAATTCAACAATTTCTGGCAACTCCTGGCACTTCAAAATGCGGCCACACTCTCTCTGGAACAATTCAACAGTCACTTCATCGACAAGCTTCGCCGGGGAAACTCCTAGCCTCTCGACTTCCCTAAACGCCTCGAGAACATCCCCAACATTTCCGTCGCGAAGATTCTGCAGAATCCCTTCCCCCACGGGCTTTAGGGCGAGCAAGGAGACGAAGTCGGAAGCATCGACTCCCAAGGCAGCGACGGACTCGATAATCATGGAGAACTCTTGGAGGCGGCCGTCAGCGGCGAGCTTGGCGGCGAGGTCGCTGTAGTACTTGAGCACGGACTTGTCCGGAGGGGAAGTGATGTCATATCGGACGGTAGAGAGGAGAGGAGGAGAGCGGGAATGGACGGTGGGGATGGGCCTGGAGGGGGCGACGGATTGTTTGGGTTTGGGCTTGGGGGAGTGGTGGTGGTGGCGGCGGTGGCCGTCGGGGAGGTGGTGGTTTGGAGGATTGACGATGGAGGAGGAGCCGAGGATGACGAGCTCTCTCATTCTGGGCCAACCGTTTGGTTTGGATTTTTGGTGCCGCTTTGTTTTGGCTTGTGGTGTTTTTTTTTAATCTGATTCCGCAGGGGGCATGGATTGAATTTGAAAGGCAGGTATTTTTGGTTCCAATCCAACTTCGCCGAAGATCCCCCGTATCATTTCCAATTTATATGTTGGTTTTTTTGTTTAGAACATAGACGGGAAATGTTGTTTGCATGGTTAAAATGTTTTGAGCTTACCTTATTTTATGTCTGACTTGATTTACTTGGAGACAAACAAATGGTTAAGTGTGGCAAATTTGATAACACAGTTTTAGTACATGTTTCCCTCTTCGTTCTTAGATCGTTTGGGATAGATGTTGTAGTTAAATGCTGATTTTATGCTAGATTGCATCTGTGTGTGATATTTCAGGGCCTAGTAAGTGATAGAAGTCTTTGAAGAAACTTTTGGATCAAATGGAGCAGAGACGGACCAAGAGTCGTTGACCAAATTGAGAATTATGACCAAGGGCCACGACCGTGACATTCTTTGCCAAACCATGACATCCCCTGCCAGGCCGTTACTCGAGGACGGTGAAATAGATGTAACATATGCAAGTTACGGACGGACCCCTCGAGCTACGGTTATGCCAGTAACTCCCTGCTGCCAGTCATGACCTTGGTTCACGAATTACTAAGACGACGTCGCCTGGAGAGTCACGGGGAGACTAAAGAAGCTATGATCGTGAATAGGCCGTAACTCGCGATTCTCCAGCAAACAAAAGATAGACTCAGGCAAATAGAAGGGGACCCGATTTTCACTTCCAAAGAACGAACCTAGAGAGTAAAAGAGAGAGCTAGTGACGAAGAACAACTCTCGAGAAGCGATTTGAGCCACCTACGACCATTGGACCTTGATTCCTTCCCATAAGAAGTGTCATTCAACAAGACCGATATAGATGTCTACTAGACACAGTTGTAAAGTTAATCAATCAGATGTGGGGAAAATCCCAATTTTCGCATCACACCAAACAGGAATGGTCATTCAATCCGATCATATGTCTTTTACATATCCAATTTAACGGCCATAAACCTTTCCTGACCGCTTGGCTGATTAACACTTTATCAATAATAGATCGGTCTTTCACTAATCCATTATGGAATGTGCTAAACACCTCTAGCAAGATTGCACCTAGACGAGCGACCAATATTTTCGAAATGATCTTGTAGTATACTTGGCAAAGACCAATAGGCCTTAATTGAGCACAAGTTTCCACATTGACCACCTTAAGAAGAAGAGTTAACCAAGTATTGTTGAGCGTAAAATATGAATCTTAAGGGTCGTTTGGAAGTTGCGATAGTTTTGCTGAGATTGTCATTATGCATGTATTGTTTACAATGCATCGTATTTTTGTTTTTTTCAGCAGAAACAATACATGGATTGTTTCTGTGATGTGACAGAAACTATCACTCATTTTGAGTGATTGTTATATCTCAACTTTTAGTTGTGATTGTTGAGATAGTTGAGTTGAGATTGTTTTGTCTCAACTTTTAGCTGATGCGACATACACAATCACACATACCAAACGTTGTATTCTACAATGCATCGAATTCGACAATACATGTATAATATTATACATGCATTCTCAACAATACATCTATTTAACAATCGCAACTTCCAAACGACACATTACAAACAAAGGATTTAACAGCCGAACAAACATCAAGACCCACAATATCCAATAAATGCTGGAAGAAAGAAGCCGTAAACCCATCAGATCCCGGGCCCTGCATTAATACAAACACGGCCCAAATTTCAGCAGTTAAAAATAGCCCATCACCGGGCCCAACCCGATGGAAGGTTTACGTGGTACTGATAGCTAAACTACTCTTAGGCAACAGTAACTATATATTTTATATTAAACTATTAATAATTAACGTATTTGTTGGCCACTCCAATCCAATCTCAGGCAACACAGGTAAATAGACGGAAGTCACGGAACCCTAACCAGAGGGGCGCGAATCCATTATCAAATCACCTGGAAGCTCTCCGATCATCGGCGCAGCTCCATAGTCTCTGGGCGGAGCTCAGAGGTTCAATAACGGAAACAAGGTCTTTCCCCAATTCAATTAAGAGATGCCGCCGAAGCAGGCCTCAAAAGCCGACCTGGCGAAGAAGCAGAAGATTGTAGAAGACAAGACATTCGGGCTGAAAAACAAGAACAAGAGCAAAAATGTCCAGAAATACGTTCAGAGTCTCAAGCAATCCGTGCAGCCGAAAGTTGACCCAAGCAAACTCGCTTCTAAGGTTCGATTAATCGCGTCCCGGGTTCTCTGCATTATTTTCTCTTCCGTTCCGATGATTTCCCAAATCCTCTTTTCTGCCGATTCCCACCATTGGGTTGTCGATAAATGCCATCGATGAATCTTAACTGTTATGGGTACCTGGAAATTTTAGCTCTTGTAGCTATATCAGTAGTGAAGTCTTCATCTTTATTCATCCCTGGGTCTTTTTATTAACAGAAAAAGAAAGAGGAAGAAAAGGCCAAAGAGAAGGAGTTAAGCGAATTGTTCAAGATTGCTGTAAGCCAGCCCAAGGTTCCTCCTGGTAACATTTTCATTCCTTCTACCCTGGGCTCCTCAAAATTTCTCCTGTTTCCATCAGTCCTGATGAATTCCCTGTTGAACTGATGCATTTTGTCTGCTGTAGGCGTTGATCCAAAGTCTATTTTGTGTGAGTTCTTCAAAGTGGGGCAGTGCACAAAGGGCTTCAAATGCAAGTTCTCCCACGATCTCAATATCCAAAGGAAAGGGGAAAAAATTGATATCTACAGTGATAAGCGTGATGAAGGTTGTTTTGCTAGAGAATTTCATAGCATTTCATGTCTCTCCGTGTTATTAAACTTTACCTCTGTAAATTTGTAATGTTTCTGACATGTCTTTGGTTGTACTTCTGACAAGATACGATGGACGATTGGGATCAAGAGACTCTGGAGAAGGTTGTAGCATCAAAGAACAGCGAGTATAATCAGAACAAACCTACTGATATTGTAAGTGTCCTCTCTCAATGAAGGATGTATCTGTGCTTTGTGGAGTAATAAGGCAGTTTAGCTTTTCGTTGTGAGCGTGTTTGAGCACCTTGAACTTAAGTGTCCTTGAGCTTTTCAATATTCTGCTGGTGTGTGAGAGATTGGTATATTTCTTAAGCATCATCCACTACCAATGAATAAGTAGTGTGGCTCCCAGTAGTGTGGCATGACTGCTTATCTTATTCCCCTTCTGGTGTGTGTGTGTGCCCTTCATTCTTTGATCTGTGCTGTGATTAACCACCCTACTGATGTGCAGTACCAGAGAGAAAAAGGGGGGGGGGGGGGGGGGGGGTTGTCGACTAGGAAGTACATTTGAGTTTTTCTCGTTCTTGTTGCTTATGTCCTATATGCCTATAGTAACACTTTCAAGATGTGATATCTTCTTGGTTTACCAGTAAGGTAACAATGGCGCAAGCATAAGCTGAAGATAAAGTTGTTGATGTAAATTTGACTAATAGGATGATGAGGAGTTGTCATTTTTATTTAACAGATGATGTTTGCCATTTCATTTGACATAACCACATCTTGATTCTTCTCCAACAGGTATGCAAACATTTCCTGGATGCTGTAGAGAAGAAACAATATGGATGGTTTTGGGTCTGTCCAAATGGTGGTAAAGAATGCCATTACCGCCATGCTCTTCCTCCAGGATATATCTTAAAATCTCAGATGAAGGCTCTACTTGATGAAGAGTCTGAAAAGTTGCCCATTGAGGAGGAAATTGAGAATCAGGTTTGACATACATATTTATGTTTACTTGAACTTCTGCCTTTTCCCTTTGTATAACTAGCATCTTTTCCAATGGAGTAGCTGTTATCTGTGATAATTTATTTTTTTAATTTTAACAACTCCCTCTTTTCTTGGTTTAGCGTGCTAAAGTTGCAACTACAACCCCCATGACCACCGACTTGTTCATGCAATGGAAAAAGAAGAAGATGGATGAAAGGGATGCTAGTTTGGATGCACTTAGAGCAGAGAGGGCTAAGAATGATCGGATGAGGTATACAGGACTAGATCCAGAGTCATTGACGTAAAAGATGTTTCAGCCTTACATGCATATTTGTGTTTTTATTTTCTTGATGGTTCATGCTGCTCCTCTTTGTTTCTATTGCAGTGGGCGTGAACTATTTCTGTCTGATGCAAGCTTGTTTGTGGATGATGCTGAGGCATATGACAAATACCAAAGGGATGAAGAGCCTGATGTTACTACTGAAACAAAGGTATACCTTCCCCTTACCGTGGTTTTCCTGAAGATTTAGGATTTGAACTAGAGGATACTGTACTAAAGCAGAAAAGAAATGCATTGTTTTGATGGGAGAAGATGGAAGCAACCATTAAGATTCCTTAATCTGTCTAGAATTGCTGTCACTATCTCATGAGATGCCACTCAGCCAAGACACATCCTAGTGTTCTCCTCCCAGTTGTTACCAGAGGTTTATGTAGCTCTTTAAGTGTTAGAAGTATGGTCCTCACTATTGTTCTTCTTGTTGTTTTCTCTTCCACTAAGACTCAGAGCAGCCAGAATTCTGAAACTCAGGGGCCAAGCACTTCAGCACAAGCTGATGGAGATGATGATGATGATGGTCTTCTTGACGATGATGACGATGATGAGCTGGACCTAGATGAACTCAATGAGCTGGAAGCTAGCTTGGCGAAAACATCGATCAAAATCCAAGAGCCGGGTGATGCGAAATGAAGCGATAAAGGGTGGTAGACCCTGCAGTCTGCATTGCCTCTCTGAGATGTTTATTTTCTCTTGACTTGTTTTTGCCTCAATTCTGCATTTGGGTTTGAGAATGTGAAGCGGTAAGAGCCATTTATATTATTATTAGCTATTGCGACAGACTAGAAAGAGAGTTCTGAAAAGTGAGTCCAGAGGCCAAGTACCTGCATAAGATGATGGTGGAGATCCACATCAGTGTTAAGTTATGTGCGCTCTGTCTGCTTTGTAGTGTCGAGTCCGGTGGTTTAGTACTTGATGGGAGTGGCGGGTGGCGTACTTTTCATTGGAGTTTCGGTGGTTTAGTACTATAGTGCTACTTTTTGAGGGAGGCCGAGTTGTTCCTAAAATGCGTCAAGTGGTGTTGAGTTTAGTGGCAATCGTAAACGTGTTTGATGACTTTAGTTACCATATTGTGTTTTTCATCCCAACAAGGTCATCGTTATTACAGATTGCAGTAGTGATTGGGCGTTGGGTGAGGGTTTATAGACTTATTTTCTAATGTTCTTATCTTTTTATTTATATTATAAAAAAAAGTTAGTGAGTACACAGTTTTGGGTTAGGCATCCATGAAAAGATGCAACAGTTAGCAAAGGGAAAATAGCTCGTCCCACATGGCCCATTACAAAAGTTTCTTAACCAACAAATCAGGCCTGCAATGCGGGGTATGTGTATCTACTATATCTCACTTTCTTACAAAATCTATACATATTTCTCTTATTTTGATTTTTCAACTAGCTAGAGTCTATCTTTCAACTTGTCAGACTCAATTACTCATTCTATTATTATTATTTTTCATTCATAAAGTGTTTTCCAATACGTTTTATCGTAAAAAGTTAAGTTTACGTGTACATGTTCGATCAGCCCCACCCTGCCTCATACCCGCAGGTTTTACCCGCCTTGACCTACAATAGCGTGAGACGGAGCATGGGTATTAAGGTACCTGCCCCGCCCCACTCCATTGCCATCACTAACCCTAGTATGTCATCACTTCTCCAACATGTCACTGCCAAGTGCCAACGATCATAACAGGGTCGTTGAAGAACCCAACCGCCGACTAGCACATCACCGAGCAACGACCTGTCCAAAGCCACGACGAGGGACCTGCACATCTATGAGGAACACAGACAATAAAACTACTACAAACAAGCTTGGAGAAGAGAGATGAGATTCAAGATGATGCCTCCTTGCCTTCAGCATCTAAGAACCACTTCCAGGCCGTTGCATGTGAGCGGGCTTTTGCATATTCAAAAGACCGATGCAATGGGTGAAGCAAGAAGGTAGATGAGAGGTTAGAAGATGAGAAGATAAACTACCGATATAAGATCTATAGCTCCCTTTGATCTCTAAGCTAAGGCCTCAAAAGCACATCTAGATATGAAGATCAGAAGCATAGGTTGGAACTGAAGCTAACCATCTCACAAGGAGACGCAGAAGGGCAAGAATCTGAAAAAGAAAGCGGAAGGGACACATGAAAAATACGGGGGAAATGAAGAAAAGCAAGTAAAAACGACAAGGAAACAGAGGAGGGTTGTAGCCGGTCGTCGGAGTGAAACGGGTAACAACACTCAATAAATCTGGAAAAGGGAAGCACAGAGAGAAGTGAGAGGATTTGTAAAGAAGAGAGAGAAGCAAAACATTGTAGAATTATTACTTTTGTCTCTTGTTATCAAGGTTACCAACTCTGAGGTCGACCCACCAGTTTTACTTGAATCGAAGGTTGAGGTACACGACGACGTGGGAATTCAATCAAGGGCTCGGATTGGTTTCCGTGGTGGCTTGGGTTTTGGTGGATTGGATCGATGGGTTAGTTGATTTTTTATCAATAATTTTGGTGACGTGGTGTATTGACTAGACATAGTTAACGGATTTTTGGATGGAAATGGACGGAATGGCTATTTTGTTATTCGTCCAATATATTTTATTGAAACGTGCAAAATTAAAGTTTTACGATCGTTTTGTACTAAGTGCATAGTTATGTGATCATTTATGCTAATTATCCGTAGTCTATTTATATGAAGAAAACAAATAAAGTTCTAGAGAACATATATCGATTGATAGAGAAAATATAGACGAATGTGAGAAGCTTGTCTAGGTGTAGACTTACCAAGAGATTCAGTGAGCCCGGAAAGACCATATATGGATATATGGCATTATAGCATTTGCATTGTGCATGTATATTTGTGTCATTAATATAAGTTTCCGGTATTTTAGTTTATAATTTGACTTTAGTGTTTTTTTTTTTTTACGAAAACCTGATTTCATTACAAAATAGGGAAGTGATACAAAGTTTAGACCATAATCAAAGAAAGATAGAAGCCTGACCCAAACGACAATGCAAAGCCCAACCAAACACAGAAGTCCACAAAAAAACTAAAAACAGAAAATACACACAACAACCACAGTCCAACAAACACAAGAACCCAACAAAAAACCCAACAACCTCTTTCCACTCCAACGAAGCCCACAAACACAAACCTAGCCCAAAGCAACCACAAACCACCAGCCACCTACTTGCTGCCCCAAGTAGCCGCCAGCATCCAACCCTGCTTCTGCACCCCCACCACCGCGCCGCCACCAAACGAAAGGAAAAGCAATCCACCACCAACAAAGCCAACGGAATCAAAGAGGGGAAAAGATCCACTCCCTCAACCCCCGCCGACACACACCGCCATTGTCGCCCTCAAACCACGCACGTCAACCACCACACCACCTCAACCACCGCAAACCACAACCACCACCCGCAAAAGGAGAAGAACAGAGATAAAACAACACCCCCATCACCTGCGACTCACGAACACCACCAATCCAAGGCCAAACAACACATGAGCAGAGCAGCAAGAGATCGAAAAGGAGGCAGCATTCCTACACCCACCCACATGACAGTAGAAGCAAGAGGCATCAAACCAAACCACCGAATCACTACGCCATTCTGAGTGAAGCAAGGTGGACAGCTCTAAAAGTCACGAAAGAATATGTAAATTGCAAAGCAATTCCCTCTGCACACAGAGAACGAACACAAGATCTGAGACTCAGATCTGAGGTGTGGAAGAAAACCATCTCAAGAGATAGGTTTTTGGCAAAATCCACTTAGGGGTAGTAGTCTAGAAATTCATAAATCCACAAAGGGATTGGCAAAGCATGAAAGAAAAGAAGATGAATCAAAGGAAAAAACGGAAATGAAACTGGAGTGGGTGGCCGCCGATAGGGGTGTACATGGGTCGGGTGGTCCGGGTTTAGGCATTTTAATCACCCGACCCATGCACTACGGTTTGAGAAATATTTAACTCAAACCCACCCAAAAAAATATAAGCCCTACGGTTTGTTTCTAATTGGGTTGGGTCGGGTCGGGTTGGCGATATTTTTAAGTAAAAACCCAACCCAACACAAAATATGTAATTATTCTACATCATAAAAATATTTTATAACAAATTAAAAATTCAAACGAATAAACCGAGGTGAAAGGTATCAAAATTCAAAAATATTGTTCGAATTTTAATAAAACTTATTTACTTCAACTTATGTCTAGTTTTTTTCACGACATTTGTTGAAATAGGCTAAAAAGGTTACAAATGAACGCATCCATAATATGATATTCTTTTAAAATTGTACACAAGAAAAAAAAATTACGTGAATCATAGCTATATAAAATATATGTCTAAACTTTAAGTCGAAGAATGCATTAGATTAGTGAGACCTTAAGAGAAAAACATGGTGAAATATCTTAATTTTCTCATAAGTATGACTATATACGACATAAATATTTTTTTGGATACGAACTCATACCAATAATTGGAACACGGGTTGGGTCGGGTTCTACGGGTTGTGTAATCCAAAATCCAAACCCAACCCAAAAGAGGCGGGTTGTACAAAAGAAAACCCTCACCCAACCCAAAACCTTCGATTTAGCGATAAATACGGGTGGGTTGGATCGGGTTGGACGGGTGGGTCGGTTTGCGGGTGTGTTTGTTCACCCCTAGCCGCCGATCGCCTAAAGGTGAATCGACGGCCCCCGATTGGAGTTTGGAAAGGAAAAAGTTTAGAGAGAGGTGGGAGAATTTGAAAGTTGAGAGAGAAAGTGAAAGTGATGTTGACTTTAGTGTATGAGTTATGGTTTATGGATGTGTTTTGTTGAGTCCTAAAGTAATTTTTGTTTCTGTCTTTCATGGGAGGATTCCCGCATTTGTGTTAGTTAAGATTTATTGTTATTTAGAGAATGACCAAATGTCATAATTTCCATGCATCAAATTGATAATCTGGAAGATTTGTTCACAGGGTCACTCTCGATGACTATATTTGTAAAGCTTGTTGGTGAAATTGGAGTTCAACGACTTACAGAAATGACCACATGTTATTATGTAAGAGAACATACACGCACTACACTCTATTTTCCTTTACCCATGGTTTCCCCGATAAGGTTTTTAATGAGTCGGTCCGAGACAGCGTAATGCAATCAGTACATACTCTTTTTTTTTTCTTTGGTAGGATTTTTATCCCATTGGATTTTTTCTAATAAGATTTTAACGAGATATACTTTCATTTGATGGTTATCCAATGTGAATATTATATAAATATTTATTGTATGTGAATTACCATTGATTGTAATCCTTTTGCTTAACATTTGAGTTTTTCTTTATGCCTCATTATCTCTCAATTATATGTATTGATATTAGAATGTAAAGGTAATAAAGTTGTGCATAAATAGAGCACATCATTATACTAAGAATAAGAAATATTATTCTTTTTTTTTTCAAAAGATATCATATATTGATCCAAAATAGAATAAGAAATATTATTCTCCCTTCTCTCTTATGTTTTTTTTTTTGTTTCCTTCTCCACTCTTCTCTTGTATGAGCACTTCTACTATGTTTTAAAGTATTTGTGCTATTAAAATTGTACCATAACATTAAAAGTACAAATCAAAGTTATATTCTAAGGGAATTTGAAAGTTTTACCATAACATAAAGCTAAAGGTACAACTTTAGTTTGTATCATAAAGAGATTTTACAAAAGAGTATAGGTACAACCCGAAGTTGT